GGAGTGGAAAGATTGTAAGGGGTCTCTTACTGGGTTTGGAAAAAGGTTGACAAGCCTGAATACGTGTTGCAAGTGCCGTAGAACTCTTAATTAAATAAAAACTTGTGGGTGGTTGGCGGATGTTTGTACGATCCTCTCTGGTAGTAGCTGTAATGTTTGGCACTTGTGTGACCTCCTTGTGTGACCTCCTTGTGTGGCAAGCTCCTGAAAACTTTGACTAAAACAAAACTTATGGTTGGGTGGTTGGCGGGTGCTCTGGTGTGGTTTGCTTCTTCTAGCCTATCAAATATCTATCGTCCTGATCATTCCTCCTTCTTTTTTGTGTTTGTTACTTTCTTGTAACACCTCAATCTTCGACACTTATATATATGACTTAATTGTGTTGCGAGTGCCATAAAACTCTTATTAAGATAAAAAAAACCTTTGACAAAAACATCCGTGTTTCTGCAGGATTTGGCGATGGGCACGGATGCGGATGGGGAGAAGATCCGCGACCACATGAGGAACATCGTCCCCATCCTTCTGGATCAGAACATCACGGCCTACGACAAGATCCGCATCATCCTCCTGTACATCATCCACAAAGCCGGTAAGTGGGTGGTTGGCGGGTGCTCTGGTGTGGTTTGCTTCTTCTTTGCTATCAAACATCTATCGTCCTTATCTCCCCTTCTTCTTTTTTGTGTTTGTTACTCTCTTGTAACTCCTCTAATCCTAGGCACTTATATGACCTTATTGTGTTGCAAGTGCTGTAAAACCCTTAATAAACTTTAAAAGAAAAAAAGCTGGTAAGTCGCTGGACGTTGGTGCACGTCTCTTGGGCGAGTGATTTTTCATGATTTTGGAAGTCATTTGGGAATTCATGTTGTTCACCGAATCGCGACCTCAGGGCTTTCTTGTCGCATCCCCATTTTTTTGTAACAGTGAAAATGTGACTTCTTCTTAAGCTCACTCTTTGTTATAAACTGCTTTCACTGTTATTAAAAATGGAGATACGACAAGAAAGCACTGAGGTCGCAAAATGTTGAAATAAGGGGTGCTTCTGCATTGAGACACTTGGTTTCGGCCGACTCTAATCGTGAATTAAAAGTGTGTGGGAAAAATGAAATGTGGGGGAAAATTTGGAAAAAAAGAATGTACGTATACACCTGTGTCTCCCCCCC